TCCTCTCGTCGTCGTTCGTCGTACGTACCTTATATATATATATATATATATATATATATATATATATATATATATATATATATATATATTCATTCGTTGACATCGCAGGTTGGTTGGTTTCAGGTTGAGACTGCATTTACTAAAAGATGACTTTCAAAATGTATCGTGTAGTCTGTAGGATCTATAACCCAAGAGTTGCACAGAATAGGGTTGTATTTCTATATGCTTCTGATCGAGGCGGAGGACAGACAACACCATTCCGTTGCATGCTGTGAGTGCAAACTCTTATGTACACCTCAATTCATAACATACAATATTCAAGTATGTCTCATTACCTTCTGAAGGTGTAATCGTATGCACTTGCTTCTGCTTGCAGGGCTGGATTGTATCCTGATGCCGGCGAAGTGACCATCACCATCCCTCCCGAGGTTATACCTGCCGCTCAGGAGGCGGCCGAGGCTATAGGTAAATCACGATGCTAAATACAAACTCGTGCATATACATATACATACTCAATCATGCCCGACGAGAAGTTCGGAAATAGAGATAGATACGGGATGCACTTCCTGAACTTTTGAAAACGCGTGGGTGTCGCTACGTTCAGAAAGAGAATCATATAGCGAGCCGGTATGTTTTCCTTCTAATTGTATCAGCTCTCCTTACTGCACTGACAAATGCGTAGAGCATAGCTGTACTCAAATCTGCACGTATTCTAATTCGATACGTACAATCATTGTGTGCAAGGCTGTGGATATGTGAGAATTTTGTTAAGCAATACGTTTACGCTTTGTTAAAGGAGTAGGCGGAAAGCCAGGCCAGCATATACCACTCACTCACATTCAACTTCACCGAAATGAACTGCTTCATGGCGTTTTTGAGCAAGCCACACCCACTCTCAACCAAAAACAAATGACTGTATGAGTAGTGCTGATTTCACCATGCAATTAGGCATCTCATCCCACATGTAGTTATCACCCTCTGTCCCGTCAAACGCAACATAACGCACAAGCCTACAGAGAGAAAAAAAGTGGGTTGTGCTAGATATATTATCAACCGAACTGAGCATACAAACAGACAGCCTTTCTACACAGAATAAATCTGTTTATGGTAGATGTATCATCAATTCTACATTCACGCGACCTTCTCCAGTTCCCGTTGAGACCAAAGCGAAAGACAAGGTCACAGAGAAAGAGCTGTTTGTACTCAAGGTCACCATTAAATTCAGTCTGTCGGATCCTACTGGCGGCGTTTACTTCGTCATGCCAACTAACGATCTTGTGAAAGATGTAAGTACCTTTAGACGCCCGTTTGATATTTTATATATATATATATACATATTGTATATATATATATTGTATATATATATACATTTATATATATATATATATATATATATATTGTATATATATACACTATTTATATATATACATATAAATACATGTATGTATGTATGTATGTATGTAAGTATGTATGCATGTATGTATGTATGTATGTATGTATGTGTGTATGGATGGATGGATGGATGGATGGATGTATGTATGTGTGTGTGTATGCATGCATGTATGTATGTATGTATGTATGTATGTATGTATGTAAGTATATATTTATGTATACGGAAGTATGTATGTATATATGTATTATGTAAGTATGTGTGTATTTTATGTATGTATGTATTATGTAAGTATGTGTGTATTTTATGTATATATGTATGTATGTATGTATGTATGTATATATATATGTATGCATGTATGTATGTATGTATGTATGTATGTATGTATGGATAGATGGATGGATGGATGTATGTATGAATGCATGTATGTATGTATGTATGTATGTATGTATGGATGTATATATTTATGTATATGGAAGTATGTTTGTATATATGTATTATGTAAGTATGTGTGTAATTTTATGTATGTATGTATGTTTGTATGTATAAATGTATGTATATATGGAGGTATGTATGTAAGTAGCTACATATGTAAGTATGTATGTATGCATGTATGTATATAATTATATGAGTACACATGTCCAAGTTTGTATGTATGCAAGTATGTTTTTATATATACCCCCCCCCTCACCCTGTCGTACCCTTAATTATACATATCCTCTGCATGCACAGCGACCCCAGCACGTATTCACGCACAATCAGACCAACAGTGCCAGATTGTGGTTTCCGTGCTTGGATACATGGACGGACAGGGTCACGTGGACACTCACCTTCACAGTGCCGCCCAAGATGACTGCCGGTAAGCATTCGCATGACTTACAGCATTTGGCGATAGAGGAATAGAACTTTATGGTTTACGTAATATACGTATTCTAGGAGAGAACATCAAGGTATACGTTGTAAACAGTTTGTCGACTATGACGTTTGATCAGATACACAGATAGATCATGTCGCTTAAAATATCATATTCATCATTATTCACGATTGACGTGCATTCCTTATGCTTAGTTGTTAGAGAAAGAAATGTGTATCGTTAATATGGAGAATCCATCATAATGCACAAATACATACATTGCGGTGTCATTGCTCAGAATCCTGACATATATACACACAAACACACACACACACACACACACACACACACACACACACACACACACACACGACGACAC